TGATACCTCATTGTGGTTTTGATTTGCATTTCTCTAATGATTAGAGATGTTGAGCATTTTTTATATGTTTGCTGGCCATTATTCTGTCTTCTTTTTATTATCTAAGTATTTTTTGATGTTACTATAATGTATTGTTTTCTTAATTTCTTTTTCAGACAGTTTGTTTTTAGTATATGGAAATGCTACTGGTTTTTGCATGTTTATGTTGATCCTGCAACTTCCTAAATTTGTTTATCAGTCGTAGCAGCTTTTTGGTGGAGTCTTTAGGATTTTCTCTATATAAGATCATGCGGTCAGCAAACAGACAATTTCACTTCATCCTTTCCAATATGGATATATTTGATTTTCGTTCTCTGTTTAATTGCTCTGGCTAGGACTTCCAGTACTCTGTTGAACAGAAGTATTGAGAGGTGATATCCTTGTCTTCCTGATCTTACAGGAAAAGCTTTTAGCTTTTCATCATTAAGTATGATGTTAGCATGGATTTGTTGTATATGGCTTTTATGGTGTAAGGGAACATTCCGTCACTCCTGGAGGCAAATTATTAAAATATGTTATTATAAAACAAATACCCACTGCGGAGTATTTTTTTTGATATGTCATTGTCATAAATAGTGGAATAAAATAATATATTTTGCCAATAGAGAAACTTTTAGTTGTAAGGTACAGTCAAAATAATAAAGTGCTGCTGCCCTTCTTCATTTCACAGTCATTTGCTGTGATTTTTTTTGCCTGAAGGTAAATGGTAATCGAAGTGTTTTGTGATTAGAGATTTTATTCAAGAAGTCAGCTACTGTATATGCTGTATATTTCATTTAGATTATCCATGATCATTAAACTTCTCCAAGGTATCAAATCACACCTTATGTCAGGGAAATATCTATGAATTCATGATAAACACATGTGAATGAATGAAAGAAAAAATTAATTAGGGCTGGCTGGGTAGTACCGGTATACTTTTGGCCTGGTCACAAAGCTGCTGTCTGTGACATAAGCACGAGTATCATGGAAGAAATTGTTCTTCCATGAGATGCTACATGTCCTGGCACTGCCTCTGTTGTGCCCGCTCTCTTTCTGTGGTGATCATACCAGAGGATCTCAAAGTGGTCTCAGCAGTAGAATCTCTTGAGGTGATTTTAAAAATTGTAGATCTTTAGTGTTTATCACAGGATTCCTGACTCTCAATCCTTGTGGGAAGAGCTTTGCAGTTAGTCCTGAAGTGTGTCCTAGCAGCTGAGTATTGATTCAAATGTGAACATTGGGGGTGATCAATGGATCAGGCATCAGACTGAGCAAGGTTGACTAAGCAAGGTTCAAATTTAGATATTCTATTTATTAGTTTTGGGACACTGGAAATGAATTTGAAATTCTTTAAAACTCAATCTCTCTTATGTGTAAAACAGAGTAACTAAACTTAGTTTGAGGTGTTGATGTGATGATTAAGTGTAATAATCTCCATACTAATTGCCTGGGCCATTGCCAGGCACATCGGAGATGCTCTATATGTGCAGCTATAACAATCACCATCATATTTATCAATATATATATTAAAGGCAGAAATATTTAAAGCCGTATTGGACAGAATAAAAATATCAACAATATGCTGATAATATCAGTGTGAATCATATACAATATATAGAGCAAATATTGACTTCTTTTGCTGCTATTTGAATCTCCTTTCCTATTTTCAGTTCTCAAAAGTCTACAGCCCAGGCCGGGCATGGTGGCTCACGCCTGTAATCCTAGCACTCTGGGAGGCCGAGGTGGGTGGATCGTTTGAGCTCAGGAGTTCGAGACCAGCCTGAGCAAAAGCGAGACCCTGTCTCTACTAAAAAAAATAGAAAGAAATTAGCTGGACAAC